CGAAGAACTGAGGCCAGAGAGTTCTGAAATTAATGAGATGATAGCAGCAAACAAGGGGCACAAGCCCAAGAAACAAGCTATTAAGAAAGCTGCAAGCTTTAAAGAAGAAGGTGAAATCATGAGCACAGTAGATGACAGGTGGCCATTCTCAACAAACCAAGAAAATGAGCAGCAAACAGAAGGAAGTGCAGCCACGACAGAAGTACCTGAGGAATTCAGATTCAAACAACTGGCAGATGGAACGCCAAAGAGCAAACTAGCAGAGCAAAGAGAAAAGAGGTCAGCACATCACGAGCCAGGGCATGTGGGTTATGATGACCAACAGCATTCAGGTCAGAACCGCTCCAACCATCAACAGTTAGACCACGATCACACCAATCACCAGGAGTCTGACCACGAAGACCACTCTCAGCACAAACAGAGTACAGCAGCGCCTCTTATATTTCCTTCAATCCTCTTACTGCTAAGTCCTTTTATCACAAAGTACCTGTAGTAAATGCTGATTCCTGTGTTACGGGGTGCGAATGAAAGAATCAGAAGTTTAGAGTTCAAGTCATAACAGGCATGTGCAAAATACTGTTGTTAAATTCTACCCTCAATGTAAAGACGACCATACTTCGATGGTAACGAGGAAGACGCAAAATCTAGAATCAGTCACTGATGGCTTTTTCACTTCATGGCTAATATTTATTTTTATTATAGGATTATTAAATACAAATACGAAAAATAGTTTTGTTACTTCTCAAATATTTCCACTGAAATAAAACAGCAGTAGTTTTGACATGTACTGAAACTGTAACTGCCACTGAAACACAAATATTGATAAGATTACCTGGTCCACGTACTGCGACTGTGGAACAAAGTTTTACATGTTTTAACAGGAGTTTAAAACCAGGGTCTAACATTAAAAATTAGATATATGTCACTTTTATTTGCAGTTCCATCAATGTACTTAATAAAATAAATAAATGGCCCTTTCAGAACTGGGGTGCCTGGTCGTCCTCCCTCGTTGACAGTTTTTCTGAACAGTACTGGAAGTTACTCAATTTCCATATGAGAACATTTACGATAAGAATGGCCTGATCCATTCAAAACAGATGGCAGTACTGTCTCAGTGAGGCACAAAATAAATAAAGTACATGTAATTCTACAAATTCTGAGAGAAAACTAAACTTCAAAGGATTTTCCACCCCTGCCAGCAATACTTCTAACCGTAACAATAATCAAAGTTGACTTTTATTTTTATATGCAAATATATTCCTATATAGAAATGAGTGCTGCCAAATCACACCGAGATGTATCACACAGTTGATAGATCATAAATTTCTACTAAACAGATACGTTTCTTGTTGTCAAATACCGAATAAACTCTAAAAGTTGATGCATACAAATATACTGCGTATGTATAAATTGCAAGAAGCAGTTTTATTTTTGGTGCTGTGCAACAATTTACTTTTTATAAAAAAAAATATTGTACTGTACAAAAAAAGTGGAGGTAATTGTGTGAATATACGTATTGTTATACTTTGTACATAGACAAATATAAGATCAAAATAAATATGACTTTGTTAAGGAGTACCTTGTATAAATGAATTACATGATACGGGCATCTTATGAAGCGTCAGTAGTTACTCTGTTGATCAAGAAATTCCCTGTTGATGTAACACGAGTGTTCAGCATTGAGTTTGAAAGACCTGGGCTACATAGACTCTCGATATTCCAAGTTCCAAGTCTAATGCCCATTTCCCGTGATATTCCTGTAAAAATACATTTCTTTAAAAAAAAAATACCAGTTTAAATACGTAAAACATAATGGTTCCACGCATAATCAAATACTCACATAATATGAAATGTCCAAACTGTGAATTAAATGATTTTAAACTTTTAGATGTTTTCTCATACCTAAAGGAGAATAAAATGAAAAATTTATGTTTCTCTCTTTCCTGTATCATCACCTAATTTATTCTGCATGTTACGCCATACATGAAGACTGTACTGTATCTGCGTCCAATTTCAAGAAAGGGACAGCAACCTCATTTACTTTGTGTTTGACCATCAGAAACAGAATCAACACGCAATGCTGCAGCTGCACCTCTGAAATTATCACGTGAGTACGTTAGAAATGGCCCACGGTTTGAGAGATAGATCTGCTCTTATCATAGTGTAGCGCGCTGCCATTCCACTGACAGACATTTGAAAATTACGCCACAGCAGACGCCATTAGACTCTTAAGGTGAAACTAAAACACTCTTCAAATAAATCTATGTTTGATTTCAGCAGCTGATGCAAGAAACAACTGAAAATGTTTTATGAATCATTAATTAAGCAAATTCAATCTTACATTTACAAAATATGAATACACATCCAAAAGCTAAAATGGACCTGCAAATGAAGTTACTAAAATTCAAGAATGCAGGAGATAATAATAGGTCTATGGGCAACAGATCATCGAGGATAAAAATGATGATACTTAAAAGTTCATAAATCTTTTCTCTTTGTTCCAGAATACTTGCAACTTTACGTACGCAGCAGTATTGAGGTTTTACTACATAATTTCTGATAATAAGGACAACCATATGCTGACATGGTCCTATTTTGGACACTCATCTCTATTGGTCATGGCACTAACCTTGATTGGGAGATGATAGCAGTTCCTTGAAGCATCTCGGACGACAGAGGAACAACGATGATTCACCTTCCTGGCAGCAGTTGGACCGTGATGAGTTTAGCTACTAATCCTATTACATGACGTACGCACTACTCACAATCATTAACAGAATTTATTTCAGATAACGGACTGGCCACAAGCAAAGGCGCCAACAAGTGTGATGACCCAGGCTGTTGTCACAGCAAGAGTTAGCATCACTTTCAAGACGGTTGCTATGTGATATGGTACACCATCTTAATAAAAATAATTATTATTCTGGAAAGCACAAAAAAAGTAATGATCATCCACTTTGAAAAATTTCAAACAAAACTCGTGACTAGCTGGCAGAAAGTGAACGAAGCTATTTCCGAGATGACATCCAGATGAGAAATTAACATGTCATGGTTGAACATGGGTTCACTGGTATTACAAAAATGTTTGCAACACTGATGAAAAGGGGTTCAGATTAACCCTTCGACACACACAAATTTTTTTGTTAAGGTGTCAAACAATTGCATTAGTTTTCTCCAGAACTGTCTCTGCGGCAATGCACTGGATCAAGCAACGCTACCAATGGTCCTTTTCAAAGGAAAAGAATGGGGCAATGATATGCCCCTGACCTCAGTCACTGATATTACTGATAAAGGGTCATAGATTTGTTAAGTCTTTACAGAACGGATACCTCAATTTGCCAGCGAAGTTCAAAACCGCATTACCACTTTCTGATGGCCTGATATTTGATTTTGATGACAGGTGTCCCAAAAATATGTACACACATTATAACACAGGATATTAACCTTGTTAACGACCTCCGTGCGTTATGTTTATGAGTGCAGTCTCCACTTAACAGATGACACTGCAATATCTTTTCCCACGATTCAGATTTGCAAATTGGCAGAGGGTTGATTTAGTTTCAAGCAACGAAAATTAATACTGGAAATTAAACAAAGACAGTGGACACGTGAATTTGAAACCATGTTTCCAACTCAACTAATTACAAGAATCTGAGATAAATATGAGATGTAACTTACTGTGTAAGCGACAACCTGGTAGGCCTCACACATCAACGAGAGAGGACATTTTTACTACGGCGTTAATGGCAATTCACGATTGCCGAAGAAATCTTTAAAGTGGCGTGCTAGGATTTCTAAGTCAAGTGTACACATGATTTTCAAAACAGTGAAGCGGAAATGCTAGGTGCCAAGGTTAACGCATGCAACGACTGAAAACGATCCTATCCGTAAACTTGAGTTTCGTGAATGGATTCAGAGGAAGGTGAGTGAGGACGCACAGTTTCTGGGGATGATTGTTCGAACTGATGAGGTGACATTTAAGCAGAATGGTACAGTGAACTAATATAATTGTGTATACTGGTCTTTCAAAAATCTGAATGTTTTTATATTGACAAGTCAGTTAATTTACAGGACTTTCAGTCTGGTACGTGCAACAAAAATTCCCATGTATTCTTTTTTCACCAGCAATTACAAACTAAAGAAGCTAGGGAAAAATGAACATATGACAATCGTTGAATGCCTTTCCTTCACAGATATCTCGCACAGTTTTCAACATTTATGAAAGAATAACAATGTACTAAAACAAATAGAAAACATATACAAGTACTGTGAAAACACTATACAAAAGCAAATTTCACAAACTTAAAAAGTACACCTCAAAATATGACATGACGCACATGGTTTTAAAGGTTCGCGGCTGCTCTCAATACAGCACGAGGGCCACATAAAGTATCGTACCTTGCGAACTCAGGTTTAAGCAACATTTGCTTTTATCCATGATAAACTGTACTTTCACATTCTACCGAAAGCTTTCTAACACAACTTATACTAAACTTCAAATTCATATTTATATGCATCATCCCAACATGCACGTACTTAAATCTGAAATCTGAATCCGTTTTTAAAATGCTTAACAACGAACATGGCAAACATAGCGACGTGTCATAAGTCACTAGTCGACCAATCTAATCAATGCAGTACTTACATCTTTTTACATTTTTCATACTGAATTCCCTTTTAAAGTACAGTTACAAACAGCATAACGTACTTTCATCTGGACTCAGTTCTCGGCTGCTACTTTTGAGTAGAGCGGGTTGAGGCACGACGCTTCTACCCTTGGTCCTCTTCATAATCCGCTGCCGGCCGCTTCCAAAGTGACCGCTAGCCACTCCCAGCTACTGGTCCTCACTGGCGACTACCAGGAACCACAGAGTTCATCCGACAGTTGGTGTCGCTACTTATACTACAGGCTGATGCCAGACAATCTTCCCACTCAAACATCCAGACACTAGCAGACAATGCTGAGGAGAAAATTTAGTGCTGACAACAATGTCTGCGTGACAAACATTGGTAGCGAGTTCATACAACTGAACCGGAGGTTTTGATGGTACACAGGTTGACAGTTCTGCACAGTCTGGAGAAAATGCTAGTAAGCGGACCCCATAACCAAAAGGGGAACAGATCAAACGCCCATCAGCGGAAAAGCACAGTTCCTTAATGAAACCCCTTCCTACATTGGGTTCCTCTATAAAATGTGTGAGTCTCTTAATGTTCTGATGTATGTGCTGATTGCGAGGTATTTCATAACTAGATACAGGGTTCATTCTGTAGCCACCTTGAGTGCTGCTTGAATGAACCGTATTGTTATCAATATACAGCAGAGTCCTGCCGGATGCCGGCCCACCAGACGGAAGGGAACGGAGAACATTCCCCTCTCTATTCCACTCCCTGTCTGTACTAGTGTTTGTTCCTTGACTTGCAGTTCTAGTAGAAGTAATAGACGTGGCAGCTGCCATCACTGCATTGGTGGCCGATACAACAGCTGCGAGTGCATTTCTGAGAGAACTGCCTGACGCCGAAGTCTCCGAAGTACTGCTATTGGCTGCTTCTCTCGCAGCTTCCGTTACCTGTTCATTTGGTCGTGTATCTTGGTTCTGCCTCTGGAGACCTCCTTCTGCCTGCTGTATAGGGGCAGAGCCACTGGGTCCAATACCACTGACATCAGCAGAACTACTGGCACCGTCTACATTTCGTCGTACAACAATCCTGACAACTCCGGGCCGCCTGTCCTCCGCGCTTCCGACGCCGGACGACGGCTGTCCGGCTACTCTCTGCTCTATATTCGCACGAATTCTCATGCTTATACTACGTTCGCGTTCAGCGCGTTCCCTTTCTCTCTCACGACGAACGCGCGCTTCTCTAATAGCGACAAGAGCTTCCCAGACGTCTGCTGAAGACACATGAAGTTCTACATTTGCTGGAGACAGCCCACGCCGCCCAGTATCGCCTACTGTTCCCCTTCGCCTCGTGTCCACGGGGATACCGACACTCCTACCTGTCCCGGACGTTCGAGCCGCGCCCCCCCTACCCTCTACCGCAGCTGTGCCAAAAGAGGATGAACTGGCAGCTGCATTTACCACAGGTATTGAATCCATTCGTAATTCCACCATGGGCCTTACAATACGTGCTCGTGAGTCAGGTCCAATCACAAGGGAAGACGTCAACCCTGTCATTGCCGTCTGCAAGCGATGAATGTGCCGATGACCATTGAAATTCTCGGCATCACTGTCACTGTCACTTTCATGAGCATTCTGCCGGTTTGTTCGCCTTGATGTTTTATTTGCACTACCCTGTGAACAGTCTTCATCATCATGATCCGTGTCACAACCAGTCTCACTATCCTCTTCAGACGATTCTCTGTCCTGGATGTCATGCACGCACGTCCACTGCAAAGAACACCAACGCAGTCAAATGCAGGAACTCCAAAATTTAACCGGTCAACAAATACTATTTCCATAAAAAATCAAAATACTTGTTTGCCTAACCTTACTGCAAAATTTCAGTTACCGTAAAAAAACATTGTTACTCCGTCTCATGACGATGACTCCGGAAACACAGGCACTGCAGGAAGGGTTTGGTCAACTTAAAGGGTAAGGTGATGATAACGAGTTTAAAACAGAAAGGAAGTGGAATGGATGACTAAAAACTCAGGAGCATTCTATGGAGTCAATATTAACTAACTCAATGACGCAGAGTTCTCCTTCAGAAGCTAATAGTTGCTCCCTTAGACAACCAATTCCCTTCCTTTTATGAACCCAAAAGGTCCATTACCATATTCAATCCCTATCCTAAGCCAGATAAATCCAGCCACACCCTCCCACCCTGCTTCTTTAAGATCCATTTTAATATTACCCACCCCCCATCCCCAGGTCAACCACGTGATCTCTTTCTCTGAGGAATTCTGCCACATATGCTACTTGACTTGCCGATCTCATCATCCTTGATTTGCACACCTTAACAATGTCTGGCAAAGAGAACAAATTATGTGGGCTTCCGTATCTGAGAGCCGTGAGTTCACACACTTTCCTTAAAGAACCTAAGGTAAAAATCTGAACCCAAGATGGTTAAATTAACAAAAAAAATTATGAAATTGACCATCAGACACTCAATGTTATATTTACAGAACACTTTTATGCGTTCTTACAACTCCTTAAAACTGAGAAACATCTCAACAAGTATCAAAATTATGCTCAATATATCAAACTTTCAACGACACAGCAGCCATGTGACATTTAGATACATCTTCAAAGTCTTCACACTAGATGGCAGCAGCATGCAGACCAACAGGTACGCAACTTTTACGCTAAAGGAGTACGGATGAACGCGTCACAGTAAAATTTTGAATGACATTCGATCAAAGTCAAACGTCACAACGAGGGTTGAGCAAATAAAATTTAATGTGCTCCAGAACTTAATGCAGATGACTGATTCTTTGGTTATTTCATGATGCTGTTTCAAATGTAGAGGTTATGCAGTGTTGAATGAGAATGAGAATTTGGAAGGGGCCACTGCTTGATGGAGAGCCTGAGGTAAACCGGCAAGTGAGCCAAAATATGAATCGGGAAGCTTCCAAATCTCGAACGATACGATCAGTACACTCACCTCAGAGTTCTCATCATTGCTGATGTTGCGACTGAGGGCACACCAGCCCTGGGGGTGGATCTGCAAGGAAGAGACAACTTCCGCATCATCCCCTGTAGGAAAGTCAGTCACAAACTCCACTCTGTTGGTCTTACGCTGGTGAGAGAACAAGTGAGTGAATTTTGCTGCCACAGGAATAGTTGTCTGACTCAGCTGCATCAGTCGGTACATGTTGGGCTGAAAAGGGGAGGAAACTATTCCAGAGAAAACAAATACTGGTACACGATTCAGGTAACGATTACATCGAACTAGAAAAGTTAATTTCCATCTGCCTCATCATTCTCTCCGCCTATTCTCTGTGGTATTACAGAAACTTGATATATTCTTGGGTGTATAGAATTATAAACCAAAATTAAATTTATTAGTTGGATAAAGGACCACATAAAAATAAAGTGAGAAATTGAGATATCAGCAGAGTAAACGAATATTCATTACAAAATATAAAAAATTATAGACATATATGAATATAATGTTTAGAAAGAATGAAGGATTCATAAAATGTAATAAAATACAATCTGAAAGAAGAGATTTTGGAAGTCAGGCTCTGAGCCATCACAAGAGAACAGTAATTATTTCTATCCGGTGGACACAACACGGCAGGCTTGATGATGAATCGACGCTATACTGAGAAAATGTTGTTAAATAAACTATAAATAAAAAGTGTTTTTATGACAATTTAAGTGAATAAAACACAAATAACAGAAACGTAACATCAAGACAGGATAGCAATAAACCATGGTTCCTTGTACTTCAAACAATTTTAGCAGGTACAGGATGTAAAATATGTCAAAGTCAAAATTACAGAATTCACCTTTAACCTGCTTTTTTGTAATATTTTAACTATTCTATACCATAACTTTGACATTTATTCAAAATCTGGATATTTATAAATAGGTAATACATCTACCATTTTGCCCGTAACCTTTGCAAGAAGTGGGTACATGCGGACAGTTTAGTCCAAATGCTCTTGATAACTGTGTGTCATCGTAATAATTATAATTACACTGTTCGCTGTCATAATTTTTTTAGAACATGATGTTTCAGAAACTGGATCCCTCAGATCGAGACCAGTTCTTAGTATAAGGGGTCCAACCAAGCAGGAACTTCCCTCCTGTTACCTGATGATCAAAATAAAGTAAGCTTCCAAAGTGTCTGTGGTCATCTGTACACAGATTCCATCATACTTTTACCACAAAACTTAATGACTGCACCTCAGGGGCAAATAACACAACTACTAACCTAACCTAACCTAACCAAACCTAACCTAACCTAACCTAACCTAACCTAACCTAACACTATTTGCTCGGCCACAGTCTTCCAGTGCCATTCATACAAATACTTTTACAGGAGACACCTAGAAATTCAACCGTAAAAGTTTAACTCCAAGAACAGATGTAACATACTTTTTAATTTGTTTCCTTCACCTCATATATGATAATAATTTATTAATAAAATTACATGAAGGCTAAAAATGTACTTGCCACCAGTCATTAATCTGCATGTGGTGGCCTACCTCAAGCCCACATATTTACCTCATGTCAGACTTCAAACGAAAAGCCAGCTATCAGTACCTTGAAATCAACGAGATCTTGCGCCATGGTCATGAGGTCAAGATTGTGGATAATGATTAAGTACCCGCCTGTAGTACATATGATCATCTTTGAGGCATCTGGATTAAGTCTTGTTCGCATCAACCCATTTGTCTGGAAGACACGATTGTACACAAAGCCACTTTCTGTATAGCTGCAAAGAAATCACGTTTTGTTGAAAACTAAC